ATAGATAAACAAACATTTAAATAAAAATTTAAAATCACATTTACATACCTTTATTGAAGACTCTTGTTGGCATATGAAAGACAGGGAGGAGAGAGGGAAAACTTATTATTGTTTGGAAGGGGAATCCCCTTCCATAAAGACTTTAGGTACCAAGTCGTTATCCGGTGCTACTTCCCTTCTTTGTTTTTAATGGAACTAGGACCAGCTTGAGAATCACTGGACCCCTGTTGTACAAAAAAACTCCAGAGGTTTGTTTCCAGCGTCTGGCATTTGTCTGAAATGAGACATGGTTTTGTCACTAAACATGTTGCAGAGATGGCTTGTTTCAGCTTACTCAGGGTGATATTTCTCAGCAAAAGCTTGCACCCTACTTCACACTGCACAAATCTCCTTAATCTCTGAAGAAGGAACCTCCTTCCCTCCCTCTTCCTCTGAAGCAAGCTCCTCGGCTGTGATCTATTGCTATTCCAGATGAAGGTCTTGCAGCTCTTCAGTGGTTAGCTCTTTCCTGTATGCCTCCACCAACTCTTCCACATCCTGGCCAAGCACCTCCAACCCCATGGTTAATTATGCAGCAGTAGCACTCAATCAACAAGCACAAAAAACAATGGATTACTGTGAAATGTTTGGATGAACGCGCAGGGTAATGTTCATTCGAAAAGAAACATAACCAGACTGACTCACAACACATGCACGAGATGTTTTGTGTGGGAATGGGCAGGCATGGGCAGGCACGGGCAGGCGGACAGGTCTGGTATGGCAGCCGAAACTCAAGATACTGTTCAAAACTCAAAAGACAAAGTTTAGGCGAAAAGTGACCAAAACTCAAAATGGCTGAATCTTGGAGCGGCCAAAACTCAAGATTCCACTGTATAGCCCCAGGCCATCAATTGACTCGTTAGTCATTGACCTCTACATTGACATTAACAAGAAACAGCCCTTCTGAGAAAACATAGCCAATCAAAGCCATACAAACAATAGCTACCTCGCACACACAGACACAAGCGCGTGTGCGCACCTGGTCACCTCTGACCTTATGGTTTGGTCATTTACCTTTAAACTGACACTAACCAGAAATAGTAAAGTCAAGTTATTCAAAGGGAGAGAGGGTGGGGGCACCCTTTCTTTCTATTTTCTGAGGCCCTTCCACACACACTATTTGTTAATTCCTTTTATTAAACTAATTTTTTTATTATTACATTTTGTTATAAATGAAGTCTTTCATCTGGGGGGCCCCTCTGGCAGAGGGGCCCAGGGTAGATGCCCCCTTATAAATCCAGCCCTGCCTTTAATAAGAGTGCAGTAAATTAATAATGTATAATAAAATATAAACATTACTTAACTCACACTAACATCACATCCATTAAAACCTACTCATCTCTATTCACTAACACATTCACACAAGCCTGCTGGATGCTTAAGCCCCAATAACTCAAAGTTTCTTTTATCCTCCTCCTCCTCCTAATCATTCCTGTGATGACCCCTATCCCTCCTATCTTAACCCTTTACCGGGCAGGACCGGACCAATTTATACATTTTTTATACACCATCATAAGAAAAGAGGACACATGCTTCATGAAGTGCTTAACGCTAACATTACAAGACTTCCATCTTCTGGAAGAGAATGTCTAACTTATCATTCCATTCCTCAAACCCCATGCTTTTGTAGACAGAATTAACCCTTTCAGGGTTGGTGCCGTACTAGTACGCATAAATTCTAGCATCCTCAAATCAAGCAGGAAAAGGCTGGTAGTCCTGGATGTGGGAGAATGGGTCTCCATGGTCAGTGTGCACGGTATAAAAATATAAAAAAATCAGGGACCCAGTGGTGCATTGTGGGAAAGCCATTTTATTACACCTTGTTCACCATGTCTAGCGGTAAGATACTCCTCACTCCTCGGCTAATTGGGGCTCTTTTGTTCCCATGTGATAGTTCAAACACAGATGGAAGTGTCAGTGAAGATGAATTTCATGGTTCTGAGGAGTTTGTGACCGAAAGCAATGCCCAAGAAACCAACCTGAAGGAAGGAAGGAAGAAGAAGGAAGGAAGGAAGGAAGGAAGGTAAAAGAAAGGGAGGAAAGAAGGAAGAGATGAGAGGAAGGAAGAGATGAGAGGAAGGAAGGAAGAAAGGAAGAGATGAGAGGAAGGAGGGAAGGAAGAAAGGAGGGAAGGAAGAAAGGAGGGAAGGAAGGAAGGAAAGAAGGAAAGAAAGAAGGAAGGAAAGGAATGAGACTGTCAACCTAGGATAACTCAAAAAATTCAGACAGTGACTTATTTCCATGTGGGTTGGCGAGGTGGGGAGGAAGGGATGGGTGTTGACAGGCAGTGAGGGTGGCGAGTGGTGGTGTTATTTGTCATTGTGACACTAATTATGCCGGTGACTCAGCATATTTACAAATCCACCCCACACAACAACTAAAAGCTTTACAGAAGCTGTAGCAGTTCTGCGAAGTGTCCAGTGACTTTATGTGTATATATGTGATAGAAAAATTGTAATAAACAACATTTCTTATTGTTGGTTGTGTAGCGGGCTAGCTGAGGGATTTTCAAGGATAGCTCCTGGTCAAAGAGGCTGACCAGGTCCCTACTTAACAGAACTCAGTGTGAATGCTTTGAGAAGATACCAGAGCAGCGAACGGACATCCCAGTGCATCGTTTCAGCGTAAATAGTTGAAGTGTTGTGCAGAAGGTTTGGTGTTGTTGAGTCAGGACCAGTCAGCGCCTTCCCCCTCTCAGCTGGGGGGGAGGGGGAGGGCATGTGTAGTAAACAGTGACCCTCTCATAATGCCTCACCCCTGCGCGTCCCCCCGCCTCACCCACCAACTCCAGCGCCACCCCATCTAAAGAGGGTACTTCTCCCCTAACCCACGATGTCAGCGATGGCACTGCAGGGAGTGCTGGGCTCACAGGAACTTCCACTACAGGGACAGCATCGTGGAGTTCGACCGCGAGGCAGCTGTTCAGGTGTCATAGGCAGTGTGTTTCTTCAAATCCGTGCACACGATGAGCCTGGGATCTTCAGTCAACTTGGTGTCCCACCAGGACGTTGCCATGTCCCTAGGGGAGCTCTCCATCGGGCTTGTTAAACGGAAATCACATGGCTTCTTGGACCTCTTGGGGAGGGTCGATGGTGCTCGTGCAAGCAGCAGATCCCGGGGCAACTTGCTGCTGTTTGCAATGGCTGTCTGCCGAGGAGAGACAGGCACCTAGCAACATCTGTTGTTGGGGCAATGGATGAATTCCCTGCTATGTTTGTTAACTGCTCATTACTCTGTAATTTGTCTATGATTGTAATCATGTGATAACGTGTTTATCATTCATTACCTTTGAAACTTGTCATGATTCTGACCAGCTCTACCTGGAGCTCATTACCTTTGTAAATTCTCATGATTTATGTGTTTATGATTCATTACCTTTTAGGTAGTAGGTTGGTAGACAGCAACCGCCCAGGGAGGTACTACCGTCCTGCCAAGTGAGTGTAAAACGTAAGCCTGTAATTGTTTTACACGATGGTAGGATTGCTGGTGTTTTTTCTGTCTCATAAACATGCAAGGTTTCAGGTATGTCTTGCTACTTCTGCTTACACTTAGGTCACACTACACATACATGTACAAGCATATGTATACACACCCCTCTGGGTTTTCTTCTATTTTCTTACTAGCTCTTGTTCTTGTTTATTTCCTCTTATCTCCATGGGGAAGTGGAACAGAATTCTTCCTCCGTAAGCTATGCGTGTTGTAAGAGGCGACTAAAATGCCAGGAGCAAGGGGCTAGTAACCCCTTCTCCTGTATATATTACTAAATGTGAAAGGAGAAACTTTTGTTTTTCCTTTTGGGCCACCCCGCCTCGGTGGGATACGGCTGGTGTGTTGAAAGAAAGATTCATTACCTTTGCAATTATTCATGAGTGTGACCAGCTCTACCTGGAGCTCATTACCTTTGTAACTTGGTCATGATTATGACCAAATCTAGTTCATTACCTTTGTAACTTGCTCAGTTATCAAAACTTTGGAGTCCAGTCCCTGGACCAATTATGTACCTCTGTAATCTTTTGACTACCGCCCACAGGATGGGTATGGGGTGCATAATAAACATATTAAACTAACTAACTGGTTTGTGTAAACATGTTTTGTAAACAATATAATAACTGTGCAGTTATTGTGTAGCACACAACAAGTAAATATACATTCAATATACCTTATATTGGTCTCACAAGCCAGAAATGTTACTTGAAGGAGGGAAGGAAGGAGTGGAAGGAGGCAAGGAAGGAGTGGAAGGAGGCAAGGAAGGAGTGGAAGGAGGGAAGGAAGGAGTGGAAGGAAGGAAGGAAGGAAGGAAGGAAGGAAGGAAGGAAGGAAGGAAGGAAGGAGAAGGAAGGAAGGAAGGAAGGAAGGAAGGAAGGAAGGAGGAAGGAGGGAGGGAGGGAAGAAAGGAGGGAGGGAGGGAAGGAAGGAGGGAGGGAAGGCAGGAAGGAGGGAAGGCAGGAAGGAGGGAAGGAGGATAAGTAGGTAGGAAGAGATGAGAGGAAGGAGGAGAGAAGGTAGGTAGGAAGAGATGAGAGGATGGAATGAAGGAGGGAAAGGAAGGAAGGTAGGTGTGTGGGGAGGAAGGGATGTATTGTGGAAGGCAGTGAGGTTAGTGAGTGGTGGTATGATGCATCATTGTGACACGACACACTGGTGACTCAGCATATTTACAAGTCCACCCCCACACAACTACAAGCTTTCAGAACCTCTTGTAGTTATAAGAACCTGCCCAGTGACTATATGAGTATATTTATGATAGAAAAATAATAATAAACATTTTTTATTGTTGGTTTGTGTAAACATGGTTTGTAAACAATATAATGACAGCAAAGTTTGTGCAGTTATTGTGTAGTATACAATGAGTTAATATATACCAAACAGTCTTTATATTGGTCTCAGAGGCCATAAAAGTTACTTCAAATAATAAAATAAAAAATAAAAGAAAAAAGTAGAAAAACAAAATAAACTATTACCGGGTGACTGGCAGTCGGAGATGTTGCCGTATGCGGTTCAATTTCTGTCAACTTCACGCCTCCATATCTCGGTAAGTATTGATGGCAAAAGTTTTTTTGTTTAGCCTATAAAATTTAGAAAAAAAAAAAAAAACTATCTTTTCATAAGAAATTTTTTTTTTTTTCGAATATTTACTGACCCTGAGAACAGGTTTGGGGGAGGGCCTGCCGACCCTGAAAGGGTTAAAGGGTGCTTACAAGCATTCTGAAGGGCAAATATAAAGGCCTGGTTCAATAAAAGTGGACTATAACAAGTATTTCTGAAAATTTATTTTGAAAATAATGTGAAATGTTATGAAGCATCAATGCATAAGCCTTATGTGCAAAAGTTCATTTTGGTTTCCTGTTTGATATAATGTACAATACAATGTTTTACCAGATTTTGTTATGGGAGGAACTAGGTAAAGAAAATTTTTTTTTTTTTTAGTAAATAAAGTAACCTTTGCAGAAAACTAAAGAATAAATAATGATACACAATTTACCTGATTCATAAACATTTTTCCAAGTTGCTTTAGTCGTCGCTGCAGCTTGGAAAAATGATCTCTTTTCGTTGATTTTGATGCCTGTCGCGCTGCCTCTGTTTCCTTTACAACTTCTTCCTCACTGACATCATCATCATCATCATCATCATCAATATCACTGACATCATCCAATTCATCCTCTTCAGTTAGATACGACTCCCCAGACTGTAAAAAATCAGGCAAGCAGAAGATAAGGAGCAATACAGATAAAACACCTATGTAACATGTAATGATTCTTTGTTTTTGCTTTTAACACACTGCTCTTCTCTCTCTATGAAAAGTAACTGAAAAAAGTGAAAGCACATTCACCATTATTCATTTAATTGCTGTACTGCCAAACACATGCTAACATCCTAACTCCAACAGCTCTCCAAACTGTATTTCACACCTCCATGACTGGAATCCGGATAACCAGTTTCCCCAAATCCCTTTATAAATGTTACCTTGCTCACACATCAAATCACACAAACCACTTGCCTTCCCTCACTCCAATCTAAGACATCCTACTGGATGTTTAAACTACTCCCTCCAATCCCTACCCCTCCCTCCCTCCACTTCAATTTATATACCCTCCTAGTCATCTTATAAACTGCTATCTTGTAACAGTTTGTATAATAGAAAAATATAAGTAAAATAACAAGTACAAAGTTTTCATTGTTAAGATTTCGTCAACAAACTTACATAATAGAAAATATATCCTTTTGCAATGAGTAAGAAATAAAAAAAATTCTGCATGGTGGTGATAATTTTTTTTCAACACGTCAGCCATCTCCCACCAAGGCAGGGTAAGCAAAAAAAGGAACATTTTCACCATCATTCACATGTAATCACTGTCTCTGCAGAGGCATTCAGATACAACAGTTTACATGTCACTCCAAACAGCCATTATCCCAAACCCCTCCTTTAACCCTTTGACTGTCGCAGCCCCCAATCCTGAGGTGTCTCCTGGTGTCGCAAAATTTAAAAAAAAAAATTATTTTTTCTTATGAAATAATAGAGAATCTTTTCCCAATTGTAAAGACACCAAAAAAACGAAATTTGATGGAAAACTGACGGAGTTACGCTCTCGCGAAGTTAGCGACCTCGGCGATATTTACAAATCGGCGATTTCGCCCACTTTGAGCCCTATTTTCGGCTAATTCCATTATTCCAGTCAACCAAACTCACAGCTATTTCTTCAGAACAACATTTTTTCCATCGATTGAGTACAAGAAACTGCCCATTTACCGATTTCAACTACCCAATAACATGGTCAGAAATTTGCAATTTGGCCAATTTCACGAAAATTAAAAAATATGACAATTTCAAAATATGGACCAGAATGAACAATGCAGACATTCCTGGCTCTAAAATAACATTTTCTTTGTTCATCAGTCATGTCTCCAGGCCCCTGTGATATTACTCTTACTTTTTATTTTGAAATTTTATTCAAACAAGAAATAGAAGATTTACTGTTATGCAGACTACTGCAATACTGTAATAATTGTAAAAATTACATCAACCCATTCATGACAGCATATCAGAATGGCTATTTGGACATTTATTGGACAATGACATCATTTGTTTACTTTTGAACATCGGCAAAAATCAAACATTTCCCGTACTTTGTGCTCCATTTCCAGGTTCTTTTTATAGTAAAATTAATCAAAATCACCTCTATTTCTATAATATAGTTTCCATTCTATCAAATGAGACCAAGAAAACAAGAATACAGCCACAAATACTATACGAAAATAGACCACAAAGTCGGCATTTTAATTAAAAAAAAACGGTCGGAGTTTTTTTTTCTCATTATGCACTGCATGCTCCAGGATTTTTTTTATATGGTGCACACTGACCACACAAACCCATTCTCTCACATGTGGGCCTACCAGCTTTCTCCTGCCTGATTTGAAGCCGCTAGAATTTATGAGTATATATACGTCAAACACGGTACCTCGTAAACGTATATATACGGCCGCGACAGTCAAAGGGTTAAGTGCAGGCATTGTATTGCCCACCTCCAGAACTCAAGTCCGGCTAACCGGTTTCCCTGAATCCCTTCACAAAATATTACCCTACTCACACTCCAACAGCTCATCAACTCCCAAAACCCATTCGTCTCCTTTCACTCCTATCTAACATGCTCACACATGCCTGCTGTATGTCCAAGCCCCTTGCACACAAAACCTCTTTTACCCCCTCCCTGCATCCTTTTCTAGGACATCCCCTACCCCTCCTCCCCTCCACTACATATTTATATACCTTCCAAGTCATCTTATTTTGCTCCATCCTCTCTAAATGACCAAACTATCTCAACAATCCCTCTTCAGCCATTTGAATAATACTTTTAATAACTCCACACCTCCTCCTAATTTCCACACTATGAATTCTATGCATAATATTTACACTACACACTGCCCTTAGACATGATATCTCCACTGTCTCCAGCCTCCTTTTTGCTGCAGCATTTACAATCCATGTTTCGCACCCATATAGGAGTGTTCGTTACTCTCATACAATCCCTTCTCTGCCTGCATGCATAATGTTCTTTGTCTCCACAGATACCTCAATGCACCACCCACCCTTTTTTCTTCATAATTTCTATGGTTTACCTTGTCCTTCATAAACCCATCCGCTGAAAAGTCTACTCCCAAATATCTGAACACATTCACTTCTTCTATACTCCCTCCCTCCAATGTGATATCCAATTTTTCTTTTCCTAACTTGTTTGATGCCCTTATCACCTTACTCTTATCTATGCCTGGTCACAGACCGAGCCGTGGGGGCATTGACCCCCGGAACTCTCTCCAGGTATACTTCAGGTATGTTCACTTTCAACTTTCTTCCTTTACACACCCTCCCAAACTAACCATTAAAAACTCTTTATATGATGATAATACAAATCATCAGGAAAGTGGGTGCAGGAGGGAAGAGGAGCGATTGGTGGAATGATGATGTAAAGAGAGTAGTAAGGGAGAAAAAGTTAGCATATGAGAAGTTTTTACAAAGTAGAAGTGATGCAAGGAGGGAAGAGTATATGGAGAAAAAGAGAGAGGTTAAGAGAGTGGTGAAGCAATGTAAAAAGAGAGCAAATGAGAGAGTGGGTGAGATGTTATCAACAAATTTTGTTGAAAATAAGAAAAGTTTTGGAGTGAGATTAACAAGTTAAGGAAGCCTAGAGAACAAATGGATTTGTCAGTTAAAAATAGGAGAGGAGAGTTATTAAATGGAGAGTTAGAGGTATTGGGAAGATGGAGGGAATATTTTGAGGAATTGTTAAATGTTGATGAAGATAGGGAAGCTGTGATTTCGTGTATAGGGCAAGGAGGAATAACATCTTGTAGGAGTGAGGAAGAGCCAGTTGTGAGTGTGGGGGAAGTTCGTGAGGCAGTAGGTAAAATGAAAGGGGGTAAGGCAGCCGGGATTGATGGGATAAAGATAGAAATGTTAAAAGCAGGTGGGGATATAGTTTTGGAGTGGTTGGTGCAATTATTTAATAAATGTATGGAAGAGGGTAAGGTACCTAAAGATTGGCAGAGAGCATGCATAGTTCCTTTGTATAAAGGCAAAGGGGATAAAAGAGAGTGCAAAAATTATAGGGGGATAAGTCTGTTGAGTGTACCTGGTAAAGTGTATGGTAGAGTTATAATTGAAAGAATTAAGAGTAAGACGGAGAATAGGATAGCAGATGAACAAGGAGGCTTTAGGAAAGGTAGGGGGTGTGTGGACCAGGTGTTTACAGTGAAACATATAAGTGAACAGTATTTAGATAAGGCTAAAGAGTCTTTGTGGCATTTATGGATTTGGAAAAGGCGTATGACAGGGTGGATAGGGGGGCAATGTGGCAGATGTTGCAAGTATATGGTGTAGGAGGTAGGTTACTGAAAGCAGTGAAGAGTTTTTAACGAGGAAAGTGAGGCTCAAGTTAGAGTATGTAGGAAAGAGGGAAATTTTTTCCCAGTAAAGTAGGCCTTAGACAAGGATGTGTGATGTCACCTTGGTTGTTTAATATATTTATAGATGGGGTTGTAAGAGAAGTAAATGCGAGGGTCTTGACAAGAGGCGTGGAGTTAAAAGATAAAGAATCACACACAAAGTGGGAGTTGTCACAGCTGCTCTTTGCTGATGACACTGTGCTCTTGGGAGATTCTGAAGAGAAGCTGCAGAGATTGGTGGATGAATTTGGTAGGGTGTGCAAAAGAAGAAAATTAAAGGTGAATACAGGAAAGAGTAAGGTTATGAGGATAACAAAAAGATTAGGTGATGAAAGATTGAATATCAGATTGGAGGGAGAGAGTATGGAGGAGGTGAACGTATTCAGATATTTGGGAGTGGACGTGTCAGCGGATGGGTCTATGAAAGATGAGGTGAATCATAGAATTGATGAGGGAAAAAGAGTGAGTGGTGCACTTAGGAGTCTGTGGAGACAAAGAACTTTGTCCTTGGAGGCAAAGAGGGGAATGTATGAGAGTATAGTTTTACCAACGCTCTTATATGGGTGTGAAGCATGGGTGATGAATGTTGCAGCGAGGAGAAGGCTGGAGGCAGTGGAGATGTCATGTCTGAGGGCAATGTGTGGTGTGAATATAATGCAGAGAATTCGTAGTTTGGAAGTTAGGAGGAGGTGCGGGATTACCAAAACTGTTGTCCAGAGGGCTGAGGAAGGGTTGTTGAGGTGGTTCGGACATGTAGAGAGAATGGAGCGAAACAGAATGACTTCAAGAGTGTATCAGTCTGTAGTGGAAGGAAGGCGGGGTAGGGGTCGGCCTAGGAAGGGTTGGAGGGAGGGGGTAAAGGAGGTTTTGTGTGCGAGGGGCTTGGACTTCCAGCAGGCATGCGTGAGCGTGTTTGATAGAGTGAATGGAGACAAATGGTTTTTAATACTTGACGTGCTGTTGGAGTGTGAGCAAAGTAACATTTATGAAGGGATTCAGGGAAACCGGCAGGCCGGACTTGAGTCCTGGAGATGGGAAGTACAGTGCCTGCACTCTGAAGGAGGGGTGTTAATGTTGCAGTTTAAAAACTGTAGTGTAAAGCACCCTTCTGGCAAGACAGTGATGGAGTGAATGATGGTGAAAGTTTTTCTTTTTCGGGCCACCCTGCCTTGGTGGGAATCGGCCAGTGTGATAATAAAAAAAAAAAAAAAAAAAAAAAAAAAAAAAAAAAAAAAAAAAAAAAAAAAAAAAAATACAAATATTTAAAAGCCTTACCTCTTGATCAACAGATATACTGTCATCATGTGTGGAGGGTGCATCAGAGTCTGAATAATCTTCACTCTCATGTAAAAGTTGCAGAAGCTCCTGAGCTTGCAAGTCTGATATTAGGTTATCTTCATCCTCTTCACTAACATCCAACATACTTTGTTTTGTTCTTTTTTTATCTTTCTTGCTTTTAGTATTAGCAACCTTATCAAAATCTTGTGCATTATCTCTAATTTTTGGTATCTCATCTGTTCCTGTGGATAATTTTATTTCCTCCACTTTTAAATTAACATCTGAAATACAAGATAAAATATATCATCCAATTAACACTGACAATATTAAATAAAAAAATATTTGATAGAGAAAGTCTGTTAAGGTCACTTGCCATCTTCATGAATTTTTCATTTAGATACCTAATATGTTATTACTGGGAGTATACTATATAATGGTTAACCCTTAAACTGTCCAAACGTAGATCTACGTTTTTTCAACATTTGAAAGTATGTAAAAAAAAAGTAGATTTTTTTTTTACATTTGAAAACATGTAAAAAAAACTTTGATCTAAGTTTTTGTTTTTGTTATATTTGAAAATAGGTAAAAAAAGTAGATCTACTTTTGAAGCATTACGCATACGAACGTAGATCTGCTTGGACAGTTTAACCCTTTCAGGGTCCGTCCCGTAGATCTACGGCTTTACGTTCAGGGTCCAAACCGTAGATCTACGCCATGAGCTCAGCTCACTCTGATAAACTGTGAGTGGTACATTTGGGCCTAGATATGAGAGAATACATCTATGTGGTATGTGTGCACCACATAAAACAGATCCTGCAGCACACTGTGTAAAAATGAGGAAAAAAAAATGAAATCATTGATTTTTCCGATTAAAACAAGCAACTTTGCGTGTTTTTTCGTAGTTTTTTTATAGTTGTATTTGCGATTTCTTGTGTCTCATTTGATAGAATGGAAACATATTACAGAAATTGAGCTGATTTTTGATTGGTTTTAGCACTGTGAAAATGGCTTGAAACTGAGGCTCAAAAGTAGCGGAAATGTTTAAAATTTTTGCCGGATATTCCAAGAGTAAACAAACGACCTCAGACACGTCTAATACACGCCAGCTGGTGGGTCTAAATAATACATTCAACAAATATGGTGATGATATTTTATACAAATTATTACAGTATGCATAACAGTAAATCTTTTCTAAATTATTTTTTTGTAGTGAATAAAAATTCATTATGTGAATAAAAAATCAAAATGGATTTATTTGTAAAGCCTCCAAAACATAACTAATGAACAGAGGAACTATGTTAGTTTAGTGCCAGGAATGCCCTACATTGTTTATTCTGGAACCTATTTTGAAATATGGAATGATTTTGGAATCTTTGGGTGTTAAATTGGCCAAATTAACAATTTCTGATCACTTTATTTTGTAGTTGAAACCAATTGAAATACTGGCGATTTCTTGTGCTCAATCGATAGAATAGAAGGTAATACTAGTGAAATAGGCTTAAGAATTTGGGTTGATTGGAAATAATGTAAGTTGGCCGTAAAAATAAAAAATGAAAAAAAAAAAAAAAAAACACTCCCACACCCCCAGCCACTGGGAGTTACAAAGTCGCAAAAAAAAATCGCCGATTCGTAAATATCACAGACCATCAAAATTCGCGAGAGCATAATTTCGTCAAATTTTCCACACCAAATTGTACATTTTGTTTTTATTACCTTCACAAAAAGATTCTCTACGATTTCATAAGAAAAAATAAACAATTTTTTTTTTTTTAAATTCTTGGACACTGGTGCGTACTCCAGATTTGGGCCTGGACCCTGAAAGGGTTAAGGGTTAATGGTTCTGGTTATCAGTGTCTTAGTAGCCCAGTCTCAAGACCAGGACTTACAAAGTGGAAAAGAAATATGCTTTCAACTTTACAGTCGATTTTTCAAAGACCCTCACATTTCCAAGATTAGGGACCAAAAAAAGTAAACATTTTCAAACCCCAACCCATCATTCACATGTAATCACTGTCTTTGCAGAGGCACTCAGATACAACAGTTTTACATGTCACTCCAAACAGCCATTATTTCCCACCCAAAAAACACTACCCTCCCTTTAAAAGTACAGGCTATTGTATTCGCCCCCACACCATCCCCCACTCTCCAAAATCAAGTCAGTCAGGTGAGGGGGCAAACCGGTATCCCCCCCCATGGAGATAAAAAGCCCATCCCGCCCCTAATACCCCATCTAACCGCACCCCAACAGCTACAACGACTCCCTGAATCACTCAATACCGCCCCCAGCTCCCCTCTATGTGTACATTCCTCCCGTAAGGTCCATTTCTCTTCTCTCACTTACTGTCTGGAAACATTCCTCTCCCCACACCCCTCCCCCCCCCCCCCCACCCCCCGCCCCCCCCGCCCAACCCACCCCACCCCCCCCACCATAACCCGATATGATTAAAAGTTACCTGCATACAGTGGACCCCCTGTTTTCGTCCCTTAAATCCATTCCAGACGGTCTGTCTAAATCCAAAATGGATATAACCGAAGTAATATCTTCCAATAAAAATAGTGCAAAATCCAATTAATCTGTTCTCAAACACCCAAAAATCTTAAACACTCAAAAAAAAATACATTTTATAGTGAATAACTATAATTTTACATACAGAAAACAATGAGAAATAATAAAGCAAAACTTGATTTTAATGGATAAATGAACATATAAAAAATCACTGTTACATACTTTTATTGAAGACATCTTGTTTTTGGCGTATTGGAAGGTGAGGAGGGTGAGAGGAGAGAAAGAGGAGAGAGAGAGAGAGAAAAGAGAAGAGAAGAGAAAGAGGAGAAGAGAGAGAGCAGGAAAGAGAGAGAGAAGAGAGAGAGGAGAAGAAAGGAGAAAGAGAGAAAAGAGCGAAAGTGAAAGAGAAAGCGAGAAAGAAAGAGAGAAATAGAGAAGTGCGCCATTAGGGATAACGATGTTAGCGTGAAATATGAGACAGAGAGAAACTCTATCCATAGCGACAAGATATCACAGTGTGCGAGAACGAGAGTAAAGAGGAGAAAGCGAGCCACACACCCACCAACCCTCTCTCCCCGTCTGTCCCCGACTCTGCTCGAAGAGAGATGTTGACAACCAAGTGAAAGCCCCATCACTGGACACATCCTTAATCTGGCAAAACAAGAACACACATTCCTCCCGCAATATGTGACAAAGCCTACAGATCAGCCTTGGTTTGGCTTTCGATGTAGAAGAGGCAGCCAATACTGGCTAAGTAACACAAGCATGGCGAAGGTATAAGAGACATCCTAACCACGAACCTAAAACAGGAACTTGCCACATGTCAAGCCTGTAGCATATGGGGGTTGTTCAAAAGTGGTCCTTTGCTAAATGGGAGTTGGACACTAAAGAGAAAAGTAGCATCAGGTAGGGTAAGGCTCCCAAAACCTGGTGGTCCCTGGTCAAGGACAGACAAGGTTATCTGCCTGATGAACTTATTCCACCTCTAAATCGACAGGATGGGACCACCTCTACTAGTAGTCAAGAGAAAGCGGACCTCTTTGCTGAACACTTTGCTACCAAAATGCAAGTTCCTGATCCAGCAAGGGACCCTCCTTGGCTAGCTGCAAGAACTGTGTCAAAACTGTCAGGGGTGACAATAAGGCAGGAGGAGGTGCATTTCCTTCTTAAATCACTTGACCAAGAAAAGGCTGTGGGCCCAGACAAGTTGAGCCCAAGATTGTTGAGAAGATGTGCAGACCAGCTAGCAGCACCTCTAACTCGCATCTTTCAGCACTGCCTAGTACAGTGCAAATGGCCCTCTCCATGGAAAGAGGCAAATGTAGTCCCTGTTCACAAAAAGAAGAGCAGAGCAGAAATCAGCAACTACAGACCAGTGTCACTCCTGTCAATCACGGGTAAGATCCTTGAGACAATAATCTCAAGACAAATGACAGATTTCTTTGACTACCACTCACTACTTTGTGATCGTCAATATGGCTTCAGGAAAGGTTACTCTGCTGCTGATCTGTTGTTAAACCTCTCCACTAAGTGGCACCAGTCACTGGATGAATCCAAAGTCAGCTGTGTGGTAGCACTGGACATTGCTGGCGCTTTCGACCGGGTGTGGCACCAGGGCCTCTTAGCAAAACTTCAAGCACTGGGAATTGCAGGCTCTACGCTATGTCTCCTCAGTGATTACCTTCATGGTAGATCTCTAAGTGTAGTCCTCAATGGAACGGAATCAGCAAGACATCCTATTGGGGCAAGCGTTCCACAAGGAAGTGTGCTGGGTCCACTGTTATGGAATGTCTACTTCAACGACCTTCTTCATCTCATCCCAGAATCACATGCATATGCAGACGACTGTACACTGACATTCACTTATCCAAGAGAAGAAATGCCAGCTGCTCTAAGCTACATCAATTACCAGCTGAGAGCTTTATCAGCTTGGGGAAATAGATGGCAAGTAACATTTGCACCTGAGAAAACGCAAATGATGATCGTCTCTAGGCACCATGATGGTAATGCTGGTGCAGTAGTAAGGATGAATGGGACGATGTTGGCACCTGGAGAAGAAGTTGATATCCTTGGGGTGAAATTTGACTCCAAACTAACCATGAAGAACCATGTTGTAAATCTTGCAAACAAGGCAGCCAGGAAGCTTACAGCACTTCGCCGTATCTCACATCTGCTTGACAGTAGGGGTTGCAAGATCCTGTACGGGGCCACAAGTACGCTCACACCTTGAGTATGCTCCACTTTCTTGGTTTGCCTGTCCCCCTCTCATCTGCGACTGCTTGACAGAGTAGAGAACAGAGCAAGACGTCTCATCTCTCGCCTGGACCCATCCTGGATGGATCTGTCATTTCAGCAGAGCCTTCAACATAGGAGGGATGTGGGTGGCCTTACTGTTATGTACAAGGCCAATATTGTCAAAATACCACACTTGGACCCACTTCGAGGACAGCGCGAAACAAGCTTTTATTGCCACAAGACGGGCAGAAAGCAGCAACTTCACTCTGGCTGTACCCTTCTCCAGAACATCACTCCATCTGAGATCATACATACCCAGGATGACTCGAGTATGGAACACATTCGTACAGCATAATGATGTCAACGAGATAACGTCAGTTGATCAAATGAAAATGCTGGCCCACAGATGGCTCCAACTTCATCCTGTTCCCTACTTGTATGTCTCATAACAATAAAAATGCTTTCAAATGAGCTGATGTAGGTATAAAAGCTCTTAGCTTGTCAATAAAGTTAGGAATCCTTAACCTGTAAATAGCTTGT